GGAGTGTTATCAGTGAGTAAGTCAAGCCATATGAGCTGAGTCTCCAGTTCTAAGATGGTCTTAAATTTTAGTAGCTGTTTAAAGACAAATTTGGACAGGGGAACAAAATGAGATTCAAACTGTTGACACGAAGGACATCCATCTATGTCTGTGACCAGTTCAGTCTGTGGTGGAATATGTGTAGCAGGATCAAATGTCGTCCAGTTTGCCCAGGAATATCCTGGTTTGCATCCTGAAGAACACCTCAGTCTTAGGCAAACCGAGATAATTGCCAATTGAATCTGATCTTATAAATACGTGAAAAGCAAATGATCATGTGGATGTGATTGTCAGAGATAGCATCAGAGACAAAATATTGAGTTAACAGGAAAGTGACCATGTTATACTGTTCAAATAAATTGATCAAGGAAATGATCTTCTTAAATAAAAAGTTAACCAGAGTATGTGGGATTGGCAGATCAGTGAAGAGATCGTATGAGGATGGGATCTGCAGTGTTAGGCTCAAGATTTCCTGAAGAAAGAGAATACAAATAACTAGAAACCAGACAAAAAGAAAAGCTGCCACACTGGATACCTGGTCCACCCCAGGAGGATAAATTACTTCTCTCTGGTCTGATTTATCCTGAACATGCCAGATGAATTCTTCTGTTGGAGAAAATAAAAATAGATTGACTAATTGTACATGAGTAAATCATACACAGTTAAGATTCCATCAACATGTGTCATGTTTTCTGAGTGCTGTCACCTTTCACAACTGATCTAATTTCCAATTTGAAAGAATCCTTTAATTTCTATCTATCTATCTATCTATCTATCATCTATTATCTGTCAATCACCTTTCTAGTTTTTAAGGGGGCACAGACAATGTACCAAGCTGAACAACAGAGAAATAATTGCTTTCAAATTTTAGATATGACCTTGTGGTATTTACAAGATGTGGAACACAGGAATTAATTAAGTAACCAAAACTATAAGGGCATTATATCTGAAGAATGATAAATGTAATAACAGAAAAATATTGAAAGCTATGAGAGTAAACCAAGTCTCAAATAGGTGAAGTAACTTTCTAGTTAATAATAAAAATCTGTTCACTTTTATTAAGTGAATACTATGTATTGGACATTGTGCTAAGTATTTTATAGGTATTTCTTAAATGTTTTTATTTAAGTATAATTGACACACAATGTTACCTTAGTTTGAGATGTACAACATAGGTATTAATCCATTTTTCTACCCAGCTTCCCTATGAGAAAGTACTATATATATTTATCTTCCAAAGGAAAAAAACTGAGGCAGAGAGAGATTAATTTGATCAATAAATCTGATCCTAGAGTTTATGTTCATGACTAGTAATTTGGCTGATAAATGATGGAGTCAGGATCTGACTACAAAGCTCACTTTATTGAAAAATATGAATTTGCATAAACACTATAAAATAGGATCATTTCTCGTAGTAGATTATATTAGTCAGTGTGCATTCGGCTTTCAAATACCCAATCAACAGTATTTTTGAAATACAGAAAATGATAGCTTTACTCATTCCATGGCTTCTCCCTTGAAAAAAAGTATAGTGAAAAACAGTATATCATAGTATAAAAAAGAAACAAAAAATGTCAAAGCCAGACACATTTGGACTTCTTTTCACAGCTATGTGATTTTAGGTAAGCAATTTATTGAGAGTTTCTGCTCAACTTTAAAATGGGGTGACAATTTTGTAATCATGGTATTGATGGGCAGATTAAGTGAAACAATGTATATTAAAACAGTGTCTGAACTTTGGTGAACATTGTTATTCTCTTCTCTCCCCTTCATATGTGTATGTATGAGTGTGAGAGTCTTAACATTCTTCAGATATCCAGCGCTCCAAGGAAATATATGATATATGAAGAAAAATATTAGATTTACAGCATTATCATTCCCTGGAATATTTGTTTATTTTTTTAAGTACACATGGATCAGATTTCCTGAGAAAATGACCAATTGGATTCATGACCTTTTAGATAGGTGGGAAGAAAAGTATAAAATATCTTATAATTATTGTTCCTTAAGAAAGTGTGGAAAATATTGTCTATTTTCTCATAGATTCTTCCAATATCATATCGCTTAATTTGTTCAATAAATCTAGAATCCAGCAAAATCAACATTAAAAGAAGAGGAGCAAGAGTTTAAGAGCTTGTTCTTAAAATTCCTCACAGGAGATGTTTTCATTAATAAGGGAATTCAAATCATTAATACACAAAGCACTGCAGAAGCACATACTTACTCAATCTCCAGCACAGCACAATATGAACTAAAAAATAGACTCTCTATGGTGTAATTCCTAACAGCCAACCAATTCATGAAGGCACTTGGTGAAATCCCTCTTTATTTTAGACTTTCATACATGTTGCCAAAACTATGGCTTCATATTGCTAATACCAGTCATAAATGTCGATGGCATCATGGTCACAGGTATTTCTGAACAATACTGTTAACTTATAGCTCATATATTTCCACAAAGTCCTTTGTTGGTTCATTCAAAGACATTCTCTGGCATATGCGAACTGGAGGTACTTTGTTCACGTTCAAAATGGAGGTTCGCTTAATTTTTTTCTATGCTGCAATCATTAAGAAAGCTTCATTTAATGCCAAGCTAGTCTGTAAAACTACAGACATGGACCCTGAAATTAGAATACTGGAAAAATAAGGGAGCTACTTCTGTATAATTGTATATGTGTGTGTGCTTAAACAGCAATAGATCCTGGGTATTTGTTTAAGTAAAATACAACACACTATTAATTGAATGTTAAAATTTACAAAACTAATAATTTGTTTAGATGTGTATTTTACCAGCATTCACAGACAATTTGACTTTATTTTTTTTAAAGATTTTTTTTTATTTATTTATTTGAGAAAGAGAGAGATACAGTGACAGAGATAGCAAGAGAGCACAAGCAAGGAGGAGAGGTAGAAGGTAGAAGAACAACATCTAGTAATAGAAAAGTTGCAATAATTATATGGAATAACAGAGAATCAATAAATATGAAAATGTTACCTTGTAGAAAACATTGAAGAGAAATAAGCTCTTGGGTAGAAAAGAAGCTTTGAAATACAACTGAGAAATACGTGTCCAGGGGTGAGTGACTAATTACAGTTCTGTGGCTTTTCCTTTTTCATTGAAAGTAACATGTACATATGTGATCACGAATCACATCTAATACTTATTTTGTTCAGACCCTGCCTGTTCTGACATCACATTGTACTAGTAGTTATGAGTATGCTGGAGCAGGTGCACAAAGGATGAACAAGTTCTCTTGTACAATCATATGAGACCAACTTCAACTTAGAATACATTCTTTCTTTCCTCTGTTGCATTAGCAATTTCATTTTCTTATATTATAGCACTTAATAAATTGTATTGATTCTTCTCTTTACAGTTTCATGAACTCTACAAAACTATACAATCCTAGAGCTCCTTGGGGAATCTTTGGTAATGGAGCAGTACTTGGCTTATAGATACTCTGTAAACATTTCATCAACTCTGCTTATGCTTTGTAGCTGCAAAGTCACCTGAAATGTTAACATCTTCAAAATTAACTTGTCTTTTGAATTCTTTAGCATCAAAATATTTACAAATAAGTCACAATGTTGAATTCTAAAATTAGATATATAGTACCTAATTGTAGCAAAGGGCAACTTTTTTGGATAAAATTAGCATTACGCTACCACAAAAAAAAAAAAAATCCGTCGCATCCTGAAAATAGGTTAACAGGCAAAGATGAAGGAAAGCATGAAAACCGCAGAGCCTAGGAGTCTGTGATGTCACAGATAAACTCCACAGAGTCATGATTTCTTTTGAGGCAAGCCATGTGTTTTTGTAAGAGACATCCATTACCTGCTTCAGGAGTTAATATCTAAAAACTAATTGGAAATTTTTGTGTACTGTTATGGCAGAAGGAAGAAAGTGTCTTATTAAAAATGATTCTTATAAGCAGGGAGGAATAAATGGATATCAGGCATGGACATGGAGCTGTTATCTTGACTTTTTTCTACCAGAGGTGACAGCAAGTCTCAATCAGCAGTTGTGGTCACATTGTTCTAGACCATGCAGTGGAAACCATTGCATAGCAAATGCTACAGAATTACAAACTACTAAAAGATATCTCATAACAATCAACGTGTGTATTGACAAATGTGTGAGTGTGTGTGTGTGTGTGTGCATATATAGCCATACATTGCTTTGTAGATGCAGAGAAATTTTCCACAAACATAAGAAACTGTTAATAATAGTAACCTTAAAAGGAGACAGTGGAAGATCAGGGTGGGAGAAGAAAAAGGGAAAAATCTTTTACTTTGGACTCTTCTATAGAGATTAAATATTTTACTATAAGAATGTATAATTTTTATAGTGTAAAAGTAACAAACGATGTAAAAGTGTTTAAGAGAAATTATCCACTATACCTACATATCTGACCTCCAACCCTTTGCACACTCGATGCACACTCACACATCACCTGTATAACTATAAATCTCCCGTACCTATGTCTTGAACGTTTTGTCATTAGATTTTAGCTTTTCATTATAGATTTAAAATAACTTTACTGTAAATGCAGTTAAAGTTGGATCCAGTTCTTATGAATATAGCTTTCATTTAATTTATAAAGAAAGATACATTGTAATTTTACTTCAAAGGTACATTTTTTTCTGATCAGTTTCCAAAAAGCTTGTTTCACATTCTTGTTCCTCAGACTATAAATGATGGGGTTCAACATAGGGCTTATAAAAGTGTAGAAAACAGCAATAACTTTAGACTGCTCCACTGACTTGTCCGTGGGAGGTCTAACATACATGCAGAACAGTGTCCCATAAAATACAGTCACTGCCACCAGATGGGACCCACAGGTGGAAAAAGCTTTGTACCGGCCTTCAGCAGACTGCATCCTCAGGATTGTGATGAGTATGAAGATATAGGAGATGAGGATTATAAGGAGGGAGTTGGAGAGGTTAAATCCTGCTACCACAAACATGGATGTCTCCTTAATGAAAGTGTCAGAGCAGGAGAGCTGGATAAGAGGAGGGTCAGCACAGTAGAAGTGATTAATAATACTGGAGTCACAGAAGGTCAAGCGGTAGGTCCACATATTTTCCATCAGGCCACTAAGGAACCCATAGACATATGGACCAACAATCAGGCGAATACATATCCCTCTGGACATCTTGCTGCTGTAAAGCAAAGGGTTACAGATGGCCATGTATCTATCATAAGCCATTACGGCTAGCATGTAATATTCAGTAATAACCATGGCAATGAAGAAATAACACTGGACTAAACAAGCAGCATAGGAAATGGTTTTCTTCTCTGATACGAAGTTCACCAACATCTTGGGAGTCACATTCGTGGAATAGCACAAATCCAAGCAAGACAAACTGGCAAGAAAGTAGTACATGGGGGTATGGAGGCGTGAATCTATCCTGATCAATACCAACATCCCAAGGTTCCCCCCCACAGTGATCAAATAGATCACCAGAAACAGCACAAAGAGGATGGGCTGAAGCTCTGGACGATCTGTTAATCCCAAGAGAACAAATTCTGTCACCAGGGTGGAATTTCCTCTGACCATTTTCTTAGCTGCCAGCGTGTTCACTTAGATGAATAAAATAAAGTAAGAAGTGAGTGAGAAATCCATTATATATTTCTCTCTTTCTCTCATTCTCCATTCTCACACTCTCCATCATCCTTACACAAAACTAGTATCAGTGTCTGCAGTTGGAAGAGCTGAGAATTTTAAGAAGGCCAGAGCCCTTATGAGCTGGGTGTGTAATATGCAGATGATTCCCAAGACAACAGACCCTGTGACACAGCATGTTCTGGAATGGGGGGCCTTATGACAAAAACAGTTTGTCTACAAAAGGATTAAATGGCCAGTTGTCACTTACGGTTCACTGTAAAATCATAGGCTTCATCACTGATCCCGGGAATGGTGCCAGACAAAATGGTGACATGTGTTTGAAAACACTCAACAGTCAACAGTGTTTGCATATTAAGAAGCTTAACTCTTGAGACTTGCACCCCCTACTGGCTGTATTAAAGAGCCCCAAATTATAGAGGTTTGAAGGAAATTCTCTGGAACCTGTTTTGCTGCTCTATCAATAAAATGCAGGGAAATGTGGTATTCCTATGCAAGTAGACCAAAGATAAAGATCCCAAATTTGAAAATAACAAAGCCCAATATAAATAACTAATGTAGGGACTTTCATTCAGAAGCACTTGTATAAATCAAGAAAGGGAGACACGGGTTTTGGGGGGAAGAGAAGTGGCCAAAACTTAAGATTATAGTTTTGTTTGTTTATCCATTTTTAAAAATTTATCTCAGAAAGCATTTAAGGGGTTTACAGCATAGTTGGCTGTGTGTGCTACGGAGACAACACAGATTGGACTCTAAACTTTTTAGCAGCATTATGTAAATAGTTCAACCTTCCTTCACCACAGAATTACGATGCCCAGAAATTATAAAGCAAAAATCAATTAGGAGAGATAGAATCATTCTTAGCACAGAGTTCAGGTGATACTAATTATAACAAAAAGATTACACTTTTAGATAAAATTATCAGTTCATTATAATATGAATTATAATTTAAAAATTAAATGGTGAGTAATTTTTCCAGGAGTCTGGAGAATATATTTGGATCATGGATTCTCTGTGTTTTCCTGTGTTATTTTTTAAGTGATAGACTAAATAAGATAAGGGTTCAGAACTCAAATGACTCTGGGAGCCACTTGGGTAATAAGAATGAGTGACGTGGGCTGGGTCTGGAGGTGAGCAGAAGTGAACCAAAGAGCCAGCAGCCACTCAGGTTACTATACAGTGATGTAGGCTCCATGTTCCAAGATCTTAAGAGTTCCAAATTTAAACAGGTATCAGAATTCACTTTGTAATGTGAAACTTACCACATGTAATGTTGGCAAATAATTCCATTTGTAAACCTATCCTTACCAGAGTGCCACAGAAGAAGTCTGTAAGACTGATCCTCTGAGATGCAAATAGTAATATCATTCAATGCCAATGTCACCAACTGTATTTCTATTCTAGTATCTGAGCGGTTCCTGAAGATGGAAGCAAGCACCCTCCAAAGTTAACTACTTTGGCTCGATGATGTTTAGGCAGATGAGGTAGTGGGTACAGTGCTTCTCAGGAGAGCACTGGTTGGTATCTTCATGGTAAAGGAGGCATATGAAGAGGAAATTAAGGTTATAATGGGCTCGATAATAAATATTTGAACATAGTAAATGTGTTCAGAAATCAGGATAGCATCAAAGATTGTTAACGTTTAACCGGCACTTGCTGGATAACTAAGTTTCTAGAAAGGCAAGAGAAGGGAGGACTTTCAGAGGGTGCAAATACTACACAGAGACAGGAGGCTTGCCAGAGAAATCAAAGATATTGCACATAGATGCAGAGATGGGTGTTCTACTGTGCCAAATAAAACATTTAAGAAGTAGTAAGCAGCCAAACTAAAGTCCCTATACCAAGCAAAAAAGTATGGTCACTCCTGAAATCTACACAGTAGCATATCTTTGGGATATATATCTGAGGGGGTGTGTGGGTCTATATCACCACACTTAATTATGGCAATGGGTTACAACAAACATTCCCTGTTAATCTGAAGTGGAAGTAAGTTGCAGGGCTTAAGTCTACAACTTTGGCTGTTGAGAAGAAAAATCACTCTAATTTGAGAATATGGATTTGTATAAATAGCAAAAGTGCTTTTTCCTCACTCACCAGAAAGATGACTCTACTTGGAAAATATTCACTTTCACATGTAAATCTTCCATTTTGATGGCATTATGAGACTCATCTAATCTTTAAATCTGTATAACTATGCCCTAAATGCTAGCACCTGCTTGGCCATCATATTACATTTAACAACTAATAAGGACAATAAAAATATAAAGGAGAGGGGCACCTAGGTGGCTCAGTGGATTAACCTTCTGCCTTTGGCTCAGGTTATGATGTCAGGGTCCTGGGATTGAGCCCAGCATAAGGTTCTCTGCTCAGTTGGGAGCCTGCTTCCCCCTCTCTCTCTCCCTGCCTGCCTCTCTGCCTCCTTGTGATCTCTCTCTCTCTCTCTGTGTCAAATAAATAAATAAAATCTTTAAATATATATATAAAGGGGAGATGGGAATTTAACTTGTCTGCTTCAATTCCCCTTAAATAGTTTAGCAACCACGTTCTACAATTTAGGAAGAAAAGGCTACATTCTGATTACAGTACTTTTTTCCATACACATAGGCACTTCTGGTTTACAAAGCAATGATGCTATTCTGTTTTATTTTACCTTTAGAAGAATGCTACAACTCATATAGAGCAAGTACAATTAGAAACGAGGCCCCCACAAATCTTAAGTTTGCTGGCACCTGACTTTTTAGATTAGTATTTTCAAAACTATGTGCAGCCAAATAAGTGGATATCAGGCAACAAAATAGCTCTATGGTAAAATTAAGTTTGAAAAATGCTGAGTGAAATAAGTCAAGCAGAGAGAGTCAATTATCATATGGTTTCACTTACTTGTGGAGCATAAGGAATAACATGGAGGACGTGGGGAGATGGAGAGGAGAAGTGAGTTGGGGGAAATCGGAGGGGGAGACAAACCATGAGAACTGTGGACTCTGAGAAACAAACTGAGGGTTTTGGAGAGGAAAAGGGTGGAGGGATGGGCAAGCCTGGTGATAGGTATTAAGGAGGGCATGTATTGCATGGAGCACTGGGTGTGGCACATAAACAATGAATCTTGGAACACTGAAAAAATAAAATTACAAAAAAAAAAAAAACTTAAAAAAAAAGATATACTTTATAGGAAATGACCATGAACAGAAGGAAAGATGCAAAGAGAGGAAAAATTATACTTTCTTTTTCATAAGAAGATTAAGTATTTAAAGAAAAATCATCCTATCTGAATGGCTGGATGAATTAATCTGCTCACAATCAAACCAACTAAAAAATGTTTGTGGTGCTTTGATTTTTAATAAAATGATTCTTAATTTAAAAAAATGCTGAGTTTTGCAAAAGAAAAGAAAAATGGGTTTCTGGATTGCAGGGAATCTCAGATCTCAGAGCCTTTTATATGCCCACAATGCATTGTGAAGCTTCAGAAGGTGGGCAAGAACATGCAGCCTTTCCCAAGCTTACTAGTTCAAATAGCCTGGAGCATCTCAAGTGTTCTCTTAGAAACCCTAATTCCACACTGACTACCAGAGATTGCTAGAATCCTTGCACCTCAGCAGCAAAACAAAATACAGGGATGTAAGACCTATTTTGCACTATTTGGAAAACACCTTCCTTCAGTAGTGCCCCTGGTAGGATATTAAAGCACTTTTGAATTTATCATTGACTCATGGTCTCAAAAACAACAACAACAACAATAACAACAACAACAACAACTGTTTGAAGGACTACTGAACATGGAAGAGGAACTCTGTAAATCTTGGGAAGATTTGGGAAAAATGGGAAGGAATAGAAGAAAGCAGAAAAACATCTAAGCGCTCCCAAGGCTATAGAATGCAATGTGACAACAGAGCTCTGTATATCAATCACAGGTGAGCACAGGACTTTTCTACTCCCAAACGCATATTCTTTACAGCAGGACCCTAAGCATGAGCACCTATTTGCACATCATATCATATCAAACAAATTAACAATGGTTGCTTATTAGGTGTTTGGGATAAGGTATATAATAATTTACATATATATGGATATAAAATAAGTTCCAAATATTATACATACTCTCATATAATTTGCACATATTTTAACTTTTTTTGTGTTGAAACTACTACCTGTTCTTTTAAAATCATGTCTCCCTCTCTTTTTATAACCTTATCTTGCCATCCATGACTCTAATTTCCCAAACCAATCTGAGTTTCTTGCCTGATTCAAATTTTATAAAGACCAAAAGGATCTGAGAACATGATTATCAATATCTCAAAAAAAAAAAAGGAAGGCATTTGAGATCTGAAATGTGCATTTGACAAATACTGTTGGCAAATTTAAATCTCTTTGTTAGACCTCAATGGTAAATTCAAATTTGCTACATTAGAACTAAAACCTTTTTTCCACTAGAAATAAGTACCTGAATGATTTTGGGATACTTGCTAGAAATTCAACTGAATGTTATTTCTATTTCTATAAACAAAATTTTGTAGAGCTTGCACTTCTAGTGGGAACTGCCTTAGATAGCTTCCTATTTAAGTTTACTGGACCCAGCAAGCCCTGTAGTTGGAAAGATGGTTCATTTATTTGATAATTATTCAAGGAGTAGCAAAATCTATCCTCCACGACTCTGATTTTCTAACTCCTATTTCAACATAGAGCGCCAAGTAATTCATACTGAATTATTGGAGAGATTGCCCATGCATATTTTGCTGCATGTATGAGAAATATCACCCAGAAAATAATTAAATTTCAGTGAGGAAGGGAACCAGATCCTCCTAAACAAGTGTCTCCTTAAGACATCGGCGTCCAATTGGAAACTTCTAGGTAATTTGAAGTCAATGTAAGTAGCAATGATTTATTTTTTAATCTATGTCCTTTATTTTAAAAAAAATGTAATGAAAATAAAACTCAGC